TTTATACGTTCTGTTTACCTCTCTCTGATGCTCCTTTCATCGCTCCCCCCTCCCCCAAGTGTTGTTGGCTATACATCTATTTCCTCTATCAAACCATCAGCTCTGGATCTTTCAGAGGCCAGAGGAAGCATCTTTTTCTTTTGTTTTATCCCTTTCGCTCAGAGCATGACCACTTAATACTCACCCCAGCTCTGGAAAGTCAGTGAGGGTCAGATGTGGGCAAGGCTATGGTCAGTCAGGCATCTCTGTGAACCCCGCTGTGCTTGCTACACAATAGACACTCAGAGAATATCGATCACATCGGATTGGCTGTTGGATGTGTGCAAACCCAATTTTTAAAGTAAGCCATGTCCTTTGCTCCCCTACTGACTTAACACTAGTAGCAGAAGGAAGGCTTATCTTTATGTCTGATTGAACCCTTCTTATCTTTAAGTTTCTCTTTGTCCATTGCTCTTTTATTGAACCCTTCCCCATCTACCTTCAGGCTCGCTTCCCCAGCGGCATGGGAAACATCGCAAAAATAAACACAACCAAGTTCCAGGAATTCCTCCTCTCTAGTATGAATATGTTGCAGTAAAAAAGTGTAGAATTACCCATTACCATTGTAGGTCCCATTGCTGATAAGTACTGTTAATATATGACGTGGACATCATTAATTTTTTGGCCTTTCCTATATAGTCATCTCCTTCAGTTTTATTGAGTTGAACCAACCAAAAAAGTGAGGCTTAAAAACCAAATGGAATCCTTTTGTGAAGTACAGAATGATTTTCCTAAATGAATAATCCTCTACCACCGCCTTCCTGTGTGTTTGGTAAGTCTGCACCTGTTTCTAAGGAATTTCTGAGAATGGAGAGTAACCTATAGGTCATTGTCGTGTGCAGGATGCCAAATAAAACACACACAACACACGCCCACTGGGGCTAGTAAAATGGGTGACTTATCTGCAAGGCAGTGTTGAAGGCTCTGAACAAACAGGGCACCTACCCTCCGGGTACTTGTAGGTATGGGTGATGTCCTCCCGCTCGTCACGGCCCACGCTCTTGGTGCTGATCTTCAGCCCCACGACCAGGGAGTGGTTGATGGACTTGTGCATGGACCCGTCATCCTGCCGGATCCAGTCCACCACATCGGCATTGACCTCCGCGTAGACAAAGGGTGCGTCATACTTGGTACTCAGGTCACCCTCCTTAATGGCACGAACTGGAACCGGGCCACAGCAGTATGTCCCTGGTTAGGGGAAAGAGGAAGGAGAGATGGGCCTGGGCTGAGGGGGCAGTGGCATCCTCCAAAACTTTCTGCAATTCAACCACAAATGGCAGAAAAAAATCTCAAGACCGGACAGCCCTTTGACTCAGGGACTTCACTTCTAGGAAGGCAGCATAGGGTAAGAACTAAGCCTGGAGACTCTGGAGCCTAACTCCGAGGGTTCAAATATCAGCTCTGCCTCTTATTAGCTGTGTGAACTTGGGGTAGTTACTTAACTTCTCTGAGCCTCAGTTTCATGGGGGGGATGGTATGTATACTGACTGAATGAGGATTTGCATATATCTAGATGCTATGTAAGTGATAAATAAAATAGAAGAATATCCCAAGGCCTCCTAAGGAACTGAGGGAGCCAAGAAGGCAGTGCATTGGTCTTGTTTCCTGCCCGTACAGAGTTGTGGTCAGGGCTGGACACATACTCAGGAAGCGTATGTTAACTGAATGAACCTGCGGGCTGATGTTTATCTCAGTGTGGTTTACAACTGTCTCGGACTGATCACAAATTTAAAAGTTGAAGATTGGAGGCTAGGTAGCTATATTACAGTGAATCCGTTTGATGGAACGTGGTAACAGCAAATTAAAATTCAAGCCACAGAACACTACCTGACAGAGAAATGCTAATGACATATGGAGAAGTGACAGAGCCAGCATAAAAGGCCACATGCAGCCAGAGTTCTTAACCCAGGGTCGACGGACCCCCCCCAAGGCACAGTAAATGGAAATCAGGCGTCCATGAACTTGGATGGGAAAAAAATTACGTCTTTATTTTCACTGTACTTTGATAGCACTTCCTTCGATTGTGAAAGCAGACAAACCACAGACTTGGGTGCACTCATGACTCATCGCCCATAAAATCCATCGCTATCTTCATGTCACTTTTCCTCCCCTCCC